GAAATCTGTCACTGGCTTTTGTATTTATCTTGGTGATAATCTTGTCTCCTGGTGCTCAAAGAAACAACACTCCATCTCCAGGTCTAGTACTGAGGCTGAGTTTAGAAGCCTTGCTCATTGCAGCACAGATGTTCTTTGGCTAACCTTTTTGCTTAAAGAACTTCAACTTCCTTTATCTACTGTACCAGTGATTTGGACTGATAATATTGGAGCTGAAGCTTTGGCCTCTAATCCTGTTCTACACTCTAAAGCCAAGCACATTGAATTGGATCTGTATTTTGTTCAAGATAAAGTGAATCAAGGGTGCTTCTCTGTCAGACATGTACCTTCTATTGATCAAACTGCAGATGTACTTACAAAGCCTTTACCATTGCAATCCTTCACAAGGTTAAGGAATCGCCTCAAAGTTCTTCCATTACCTCGTTCAGATTGAGAGGGGCTGTTAAACATAAGGCTTAATATGTGGTTCATATAATCCTAGCACATGTCTACTTTATTCAGTACATGTCTTACCTTTCTTGTGCAACATGCAACGTCCATTTGTTTAGCATTAATGTTAGTTGTCTCATGTGATGAGTCATCTTTCCTTCTAGGGTTTATTTTCTTGTCTTAGTATAAAAGCATTGTAAGGCTCTTAGCCAAAGTATGGCAGCCATTCTGAATCTGTACTCACGTTCTTCAATGAAGTTATTTTCCATTTTCATGAAACCTTTCATGGTATCAAGAGCCATGATCTGTCCTGTCACTTAAATCATTCTAAAAAAAAAACAACAAAAAAAAACAAAAAAAAAATATTTTATCTACAGCTTTATCCTTGAGATCTGAACATGGGAGAATCCTCGAGCTCAACCCCGTTCACCATTACTCACACAAATCCCTCTCAAATAAATTCAACGTCAAATCTTCAAGTCATTCAACCTCAAGCTCAAATCATCACTACAAAACTGTCTGAAAACAATTTTCTCATATGGAAACAGCAGATCCTAGCTGCAGTGAAGGGCTATGGACTAGAAGGGTATCTCTTTGGCACTCTCTCAGTTCCATCGAAGTTTACACAGAAGGAAGGTGTGGAAGAACTAGTCATCAACCCAGAATTTCTTGCCTATCAAAGGCAAGATCAGCTTCTAGCCTCCTGGCTTTTGTCATCTGTGTCTGAGAGTTTGCTTGTCCTTCTGGTGGGAGTTGAATCTGTCCATGAGATGTGGAAAACTCTTGAAATGAACTACTCGAGTCAGTCTTTGGCAAGACAAATGCAATACAAGCTACAACTCTCAACAATGAAGAAAGGAAGTCTTACAATGAGAGAGTATGTTAACAAGATCAAGCTGTGTTGTGACTCTCTTGCTTCTACTGGCCAGAAAGTTAAAGAAAATGACCAGATTCTCCACATTCTTGCTGGTCTTGGCTCTGAATATGACTCGGTAGTGGTAACTGTTACTTCAAAACCTGACTCCTTCACACTAAATGAAGTCTGTGCTTTACTCTTAAGTTTTGAGTCAAGATTAGAATCTGCTGGTAGTGTCACTTTAGATGACAATCATGCTCTCTTTGTCAATGTCACCTCTCAAACTACCAAAAAGGATGGGAACTATTCCTCTAACTCATTTGCAGGAAGAGGAAATCAAAACTTCAGAGGGGGTAGGTCAGGCTGAGGTAGAGGTAGGGGGAGAAACAATCAAAGGAATGCATGCCAAATTTGTCACTACACTAATCACACAGCTGATAAGTGCTATTATAGGTGTGACCTCAACTTCACTCCTACCTCATCAAATCAGAACAACCAAAGAAACACTTTTAGAGGAAGAAATCAGAACTTTCAAGCAATGGTAGCACAGCAAGACTCAAGCTCAGTTGTCTCAGATGGTGCATGGTATCCTGATTCTGGTGCAACCAATCATGTCACTTATGATATGGGAAACTTAGCTTCAGCTTCAGAGTATCAAGGCAGCAACAAAATGCATATGGGAAATGGAACAGGTCTGCCTATTACACATGTGGGATCATCACATGTTCAGTCTAAATCCAGCACCTCAGTTTTTCTTTTAAAACATCTTCTTCTGGTTCCAAACATCACAAAAAATTTAATAAGTGTCTCTCAATTTGCCATGGATAACTCTGTCTACTTTGAGTTTCACCCTCAATTTTGCTTTGTCAAGGATCAAACCTCGGGGCAAGTCCTACTTCAAGGGAGAGTTAAGGATGGACTTTACCAATTTGATGATCTCAGCTGTTCAAAGAGGACTGGTCAAACTTCAAGCTCAAGTGCAGACTATTGTAATAAAGTTAGTTCCTTTGCTTATGTTTCTATGCTTTCCAAGAAGTCAAACTATAATGTGTGGCATCAAAGACTTGGACATCCTTCTTTTGATGTAGTGAATCAAGTATTATCTAAGTGTAATGAACAAGTCAGCAAAACTGAAACTCCTACTCTCTGTGATGCTTGCTGCAAGTCTAAAATTCACAAATTACCATTTCCTGAATCTCAGTCTACTTATACTTGTGCATTTGAACTTGTTCATTGTGACTTATGGGGACCCACTCCAGTGCATTCATATACAGGTCATAAGTATTATATCAGTTTTGTTGATCAGTACTCTAGATTTACATGGATCTATTTTCTTAAGAACAAGTCAGATGCTTTGCAAGCATTTACTCAGTTCAAGAGCATGATTGAAACTCAATTCAGTGCTAAGATCAAAATTCTGCAAAGTGATGGTGGTGGTGAGTTTCAGCCCTTTACACCATTTCTTAAGACTCATGGTATTGTGCACAGACACTCATGTCCCTACACACCTCAACAAAATGGTCTAGTTGAGAGGAAAAACAGACACATTGTTGAAGTGGCTCTCTCCTTGCTTGCTCAATCTGGTGTACCATACACTTATTGGGTAGATGCCTTCAGAACCTCTGTCTATCTCATAAATAAACTACCTACTAGAGTCTTGCATGGAAAATCTCCTCATGAAATTCTGTTCAAAACTGAACCAGCTTACAACAGCCTAAGGGTGTTTGGATGTCTTTGCTATCCCTATATCAGACACTTAAACAAGAACAAAATGCAGTTTAGATCCTCTCCTGGAACTTTTATTGGATATGAAGATGGATATAAGGGATTCAAAGTTCTACTCTCCTCTGGCAAAATCCTGATTAGCAGACATGTTGTGTTTGAAGAAACACTGTTTCCTTTTCTTCAAAACAAAGAAACAAAAGCTCTTACCAAAGGTTCCTACTCTCAGTCAATCATGGGACCTCCTTTAGTTCAAGTTGAGGAAAAGACTGAAATGGCTAATCATCCACTTGTGCCAAGTCACTCTATGTCTACTCCTTCTCATAGGACTACAGTAGCAACTCCTCACTCTAGAGACTCTCATTCATGCACATCAAAAAGAGAATCAACTCCTGGTTCAAGTAACTCAACAGTACCCTTAGTTGTTGATCTTCACATTGAACCTGAAACCAGAAATCAACATCCAATGCTCACTCGAGCAAAAAGGGGAATATTTAAACCTAAGGCACTTGTGCATGATCTAAATGAGGAGACAGAACCACTCTCTGTTGAAGAAGCACTGTGTTCTCAAAACTGGAAAGGTGCTATGGAAAGTGAATACAACTCTCTTATGAGCAATAACACATGGTCCTTAGTTTCTTTACCTCATGACAAACCCATAGTAGGGTGCAAGTGGGTCTACAAAGTAAAGAGAAACAGTGATGGAAGTCTAGCTAGGTACAAAGCTAGACTTGTAGCAAAAGGCTACACTCAAAATGCTGGGATAGATTTTGAAGAGACCTTCAGTCCTGTGATTAAACATGTTACAATCAGGACTGTTCTTGTTATAGCTGTTACCTTTGGTTGGAAGATTAGGCAATTAGATGTGAATAATGCCTTCTTGCATGGAGACTTAGAGCAAGACATTTACATGCAACAACCTCCAGGTTTTGAAACCAACAGTGAGAATGGAATTGTTTGCAAGCTCAATAAGGCAATATATGGTCTTAAACAGGCACCTAGAGCCTGGTATACCAAACTCAAGCAAAAACTTCTCAGTGTTGACTTTCTTTGCTCAAAGGCTGATCACTCACTCTTCTACAAAATTAGAGCAGCATCCTATCTTCTTGTTCTTGTATATGTAGATGATATCATTGTAACTGGTAGCAATGAAGAAGAAATCACTGAGCTTATTGGTGCCTTGCACAAGGAATTTGCCTTAAAGGATCTAGGAGTCTTACATCATTTCCTAGGAATTGAGGTAACTTCAAATAAAAAAGGTCATCTTCACCTTAACCAATCTCATTATGTGAAGAAACTCCTGCAGAGGGTCAACATGGTTCAAGCTAAAGGAGCTGACACTCCCATGACATCTTCACATCAACTCTCCAAACACTTGGGAAATGATCAAGTTGATGCTACATTGTACAGAAGTGTACTTGGTGCATTACAGTACATCACCATTACAAGGCCTGAAATTAGCTTTTCTGTTAATAAGCTAAGTCAGTTTATGCAAACTCCTCTAGACACCCATTGGAAAGCAGTAAAAAGACTGCTGAGATACCTTGCTGGCACAACATCCTTTGGTCTGTCTTTCTCTAGATCTTCAAACATGAACATCATTGCCTACTCTGATTCAGATTGGGCAACAGATATTGATGACAGGAAATCTGTCACTGGCTTTTGTATTTATCTTGGTGATAATCTTGTCTCCTGGTGCTCAAAGAAACAACACTCCATCTCCAGGTCTAGTACTGAGGCTGAGTTTAGAAGCCTTGCTCATTGCAGCACAGATGTTCTTTGGCTAACCTTTTTGCTTAAAGAACTTCAACTTCCTTTATCTACTGTACCAGTGATTTGGACTGATAATATTGGAGCTGAAGCTTTGGCCTCTAATCCTGTTCTACACTCTAAAGCCAAGCACAT